TTGGATGGCGAAGTCGATGCAGATGCGGTAGTTGCAGTAGCCGCAGTCGCTACAGCCACAGAGGCAGCTTCATCATGAGTGGAATTGTTGTCAGCAAAAAAATTATCATTAGAAGAAGCTGTCGTACCGGAGGAGGAAACCATGGCGCTATCGGATGACAGCGGAGAAAAAGCCCCGACGTCTGATAATAATGACGTCACTGAATGTTGCATGGACGAGTCGAGTATTGATTCCAAGTGAATATTCTCGAGAGTTTGAGGTGGTTGTGGTGAGGTTTTCTGAGGTGGTATGTTCCCATCCGAGGAGGGTTCAGCATGGCCAGATGGTGGTGCTAATGCTGTGGGGTTCTTATCTTTTGTCCCCTTGTTAGAACATAAATGAATATTATAATAATTTCATTGTAATTAATAATTATTAAATTTCAATAAACATACAAATTATATGAAATAAATAAACATTGCTAAAGAACTGATAGAGATTGATTAACTGATAAAGAACAAATAAATTGATAACAAACGAATAATGAATTAATTAAATATGCAAAAGACCTCATCTGGACCAGGCAACGTCATTTTCTCAAAAAAATTTTCACTTTTTTTGCCTTCATCATTCGACATTTTATCGTTAAAAATCCTTTCTCTCTGGAATTTTGCTTCTTCTGTTGTTAAAAAATTAACTGAATTTAAGAAAAAAGTTAATTTTGAGATAAATTTTATTTAAAAAAAAAATATAAATTTGAAAGGGAAATATTTAAAAGAAATATAAGTGAATTGAAAAAAAATAATTTGATTAAATATAGTGTATAATGAAAATAATAGACATACACACGCACTCACACACACACACACACACACACACACACACACACACACACATGTACACATACACACAAAATTATATTTTACTGATAGTAAACAGATTTTAGTCATAGATAAAAGTACAATAAAAAAACTTTAAAAGGTTCTCATCAAATTTTTTTTTTAATTAAAATTGTATAAAAATATAATTAAAATAAATAATAATTTGATGTGTGTGTGTGTGAGTGTGTGTGTCTGTGAGTGTACACCTTAATTCGTTTGATTATTCAAATGAAAAAAAAGCACCTTCAAATATGTCGATGTCATCAAAGAAACCTGACGAAGGATCTTTCTTCTGAATGAACAAATTTGATTAAAAATTTTTTCCTCATTTATCACCAAAACATTTCTTCACAAATTAATGCCGCATCATGTTAAAATACAATAAAACACGCAACGGCATCAACAACAATACACAAAAGTTTAAAATTAAAACTTTAAGAACACATAATAAACCATCAATGTTAAACATAGCAAAGGAATGATTTTTCAAGAGATCCACAGGATGCTGACGTGGAAAAATGTGATAGAAGAGATTAATAACATTGCAGTAATACAACAGCCATGATGGGATGATAAAAACAAAATAATGATATTAACATTTAACAAAACAAAGATATTAATATTTAACAAAACCATGAGAATGAAGAATTGATTAAATTAAATTAGTAGTTGGATGGTATCTTATAGCGTAGCTCAGATGGCGGGAGTGCTGTATCTTACATGAGGTTTAAATGTTTTTTTTCTTACTGACATGGTTCAAATACAATTAATATTAATTCAAATTTGTGGTGTGTGCGAATATGAATGGTTTGCCCCTTGTACATTTCACTGATTTTATTTTAAAAATTTTTGATTCCCTAACTAGTAAGTAGTAACTCTATTTTAGTATTTTTAACTAATTACAACCTAATTTTGTTTCATTTTGTATTTAGTTCATGTTAGTGTTAGTAGAGTAGTGTTATTGTTGTAATGTTAGGCCATGAAAATGAATGCACACAACACAAAAAAAGACTCAATTCACAATAAATATAATTTATTAAACAAATAATATAATTATAATTATTAATTAAAAATTAAATTAATCTATTTACTAATCAATTAATAAGATTTTAATTTTTGACCCCAAAGGAAGAATCAGTGTCAGCAACAGCCAGCCCAACATTGAAGAAAGGGTCTCCAGGTTCTTTAATGCCAATGGCCTCCTCGACTGAAGAACTTGATTCCCCTTCAACAAGCAATGGCGGTGGTTCGGTACTGGCCATTTTATATTCTTTTTTATTTATTAATTATAATCAATTAATAATTATTTAAACAAAAATTACTTATCGACGAGTAAAAGTTAACTTGTATAAGTAAAATGGATGTCACGTGATACATTTACCTTTACTAAGGCAGGCTGTTTTTAAGGTTCTCTTACTTTATCTCTAAGTATTTTGTATTTCTGATTTAAAAATTTCCTATTTTGGTCCTTGTGTATAAATTTCGGTTATATTTGTCAACGTGAATGATTCAAAATTTTCAATTTAATTGCAATATTCATTCATTTGGATGTAGATGTCATGATGGAATGGTGGTCTTATCTACCATTTACACTGTTATTGGCGATGCACCTAGCTCTTGGGTCGAGAACTCCTAACCCGCAAAGAAGCGAAGATTATCCGCAGTTGAAGCCGTTGTTCATTAGAGCTTCCGTTTCCTTCACCGTTGTCTTCTTGTACAGTTGGACCACGGCGCCTGATTCAGTACAATCTTAGGAGGTCAACCTGCCCAGGACATCACCATTCCGCCACCCAGCAGACGCACCTCTACGCCATTGTATCCCAACATGAAGGCAAGGTTTTTCAAACATGGAGTTACAAGGGGAAGATCTCAATTGACACTTGAAAAATTGGCCCTGCATCAAGTTCAGCGTATAGAGGCACATCAATCACATGCGGTTACTTGGTAGCAAACTTCGTAGTTGATGGTTTCCGGGATGCACAGCTTTCAGGTTGTCATTGTTGACATGTTGCCGACACATCGGGAGGTCCAAACTGGTTTGTGGTGGACATGCAGACTAAGTACTGCAAGCTTGGCAAGCATCCGTGAGATTGATTAAATGTGGCAATTTTACAAATTATAACTTTGTTGAACAAAAATACAAATTTTGGTTAATTTTGTTTGGTTTATTTGCTTTAGTGGATCACCAAACGGACAACATTTTGATTGGATTCTCTAACCTGGACAGCACAGTTTCTCCACCAATCAGAACGCAGTATTCTTTCTGTGGCCAGTGGCCCGGTGAGGTTCTGCCCGGATCGAAATTGAAAATGAAGTGCAACGCTAACCTGCCCTCATTCAGATATCTGATCGCTCAGCAGGCATTGAATGCCGGTGATAGACACTTTACGATCTGCGAACTGGAGGCCTATCAGACCGATGTTGAAGGTTTCACTAGTTTACGAAATGTTATTTGTAGAAACAATTTAGATATTATTAGTATTTTTTTCAATTTCGTAACTATATTCAAATATTTCAATGAAAAAACATTCTCAAAACGACAAATTCTGAGTAAACATTTAGAATGATTGTGTATGGTGAAGTCAAAATTTGTATGCATTCGTCAACTTGTAACATAAGATCCTGACTGTTTATTGATGTGAGCTGAGAACACATCATGGTTCGGCTGATACATGTTCGATAAAATGAATCTGTCATGGACCACCACTAAATTAGGCTTGACAAAGCACGAAAGCACGAGTATATCTGGACACCGAATAAATAGAGTCACATTCAGTTTTTGAAATCAAATGCGCTTTTAAGAATTCAAAAACAAATTTACAAAATATATATTTATAAAAAAGCAAAAATCAAACATTTTTAGGGCCAAATAAATAGTTCGAATGAAACACTCGAAAAGTTTAATGCGTCATACATGCGACGTTATTAAGACCGGCGTGACGACGAACGTCGTTGGATGTAGCAGGAAACTTTTAGGTGGATATTTAGGTGGATATTAGGTGGATGGTTGGACGATGACTTGGATCGAACGAATTTAATTAATGCCACCAAAAATGTTGACGTTTTACGATATTTGATTAGTTCGGGTACATCAAAGGCAATGAAAGCAGAATAGAAAAACACGGCAGTTCACATGTACAATCTTCCTCTTTTACAATATTTTAATATTGAAAATTCTAGGCAAATCAAATTTAATTTTTTAAAACCCAATTCTTTTCGTTTGGAAGAAAAAAGCGGTTCCTATTTAACTGGTTATAAAGTTCAGACACTGAATGTGAGAAGTGTCATAGAATGCAATCACCGCAACCGTCAGTTTGGTGGATATGATTCCATCAGCTTTAACGCTGCCTCCAAGGTGTGCCAACTCAACAAACATCAAAATGGATACAACGGCCTGGGTTCAAATGCTAGCTGGGCATTTTATACTGTTTACTACTACTAAAGAACAGTTGAAAAACTGATTATATAAATTTTTGTTGGCATTTTTAAATAGAAATTATAAATCCGGTTCTGTTTGAGGTACACGCACGTGAGATTGAAGTTTAATGCTGAAATTTTTTATAGAAGTTCATTCATTAACAATATTTATAGATTTTAATAAGAACTTGAAATGTGTTGAACAGTTATAGCTAACTACTGTTGTAATTATTAAAATTTTGTGATCGATAATTTGTTCGAAGTTTAACTTTTACAATTTTTGATTTGAAGCATTAAAACTGAAAGATAGATAACACTTTCTAGCTTCAAATAGGTTTCCAAGTTTTTTTTTTAAATTAGGAAATATATTACAAACAGAAAACTGAAAAAATTTGCTAAAACATGCAAATCATTGTTAATGGGCATGTTCGCGATGTTACGATCATGGTTACGATAGGCTAAAAGTACATAGATAACAGTTATTAATTTTAATCAATTTTATTTTTATAAATAATAATTATATCATTATTTTGGTATTTTCATTTTATTTGTCTATTATTGTTACAATTTTACTACTGCCAATAAACGTTTGTTAGCATTGTAATCCTAACCAAGGCCAAACGATCCCACAATTAATTCTAAATATCATGATAAATTTAGTTTTTTTTGTTTCATACATATTTTATTTTTCCGACATAGCTTAAAAGTAAACATTTGCTACCTTTACGTTTTTTACTTTTCTCAAGTTCTTTTCGGCTAAATCCGGTTTATAATTATATTTAACACAGACTCTTCGATATTCTCTTTTTACCCGGACAGGTTTTGAATACGCCAATAGCTCGTAAATTAATAGGAGGGGTTATTCATAGCACTTAAAAACATTTTAAAATTTTATAATATAAATCAATATCAAGTAGTAGTATTATTTATTTTTTCTTTCTTTCTTAAAAATAATGAAAAAAATCTTTAAGTTAGCAATGATAATGACTCCTTCATTAAGTTTTCGATATCGAAATGAAATAGACAATAAATGAATAAATTGATGGCCCATAAAAAATTTGCTTGCTTTGATTTTTTTTCAAAGTATCTCAATTTTTTTAAAGAAGCATTGTCACCAATTTCAAAATAAAATAAAATTAAATGTTAATAAAAATAAATCAGAAAGATTATCGGGATTGTCAATAGAACTTAACCCATTTTCTGCTAAGGTTTTAGATTTTCGTGATTTTTATATATGTTGTAGATAATAATAAAAAAACTAATACATATTTTTTCTTTTTTCAAAATTTTAAATTTTTAAAAAAGTTATAACGTTTTTTTAAACGTCTTTTATAAAAGACGCTAGCAGAATATGACACCCTGAGAAACAACCATAGTTGAAATAATTTTTATCAATTTTATGAAACAAATAAACAAAAGATTGAAAATATAAAATAAAAAAATCTATGTCATTAAAAAAAGTTATAAAATCATTTGTGAAAATCAGGTGAACAAGCAATGTGCACTGGCACATCACATGCAAAATATATTAAGTTTGCCTTTTTGCCACAATGGCCATATCTTCTTTGTTAGGGCATTTTTTGTAGATGGTGATAGAAGTGGATTGTAGCCTGAAATAAACAGAATGGCCAAAAAAGCACGCATTTCTTCAATTTTGATGTCAAAGCTATGGTTAGCTTTTGTTTGTCCATACAAAATTGTCTGATCTGACATGTGCTGAATGACAATATCATCAAAAAATCTTTCAAACAACATATGAGGAGGTAGATCAAATTCTAAAAATTGGTGTTGGATAATTCTTAAAATTTGAAAATTTTTTACACTTATCAACTTTTTTCCATTGTCTTGTTTTTTTTTATCTTTTTTAAATTTTGAGATATTGAAAATTTCACTTTCACATGATTCATCATTCTGTTGTAGTTTTTATAAAAATACTTTCAAAAATTATTAATGTCTTTGAATTATGATAGTAATTGATTATTCATTTAAAAAATATTAAACATAATAAATACTCACAATGCCAATTTTTTTAGATCCACCAATGTGTTTTATTGTTGCTTCGGCATTACTCAGTAATTGTCGTGCAGGTAGATCATCAAATGATCCTTGATCATGTATTTCATCCAATACATCATCTTCATCTGAATTAATTCCATCAGCAGGAGGACTGATAAAAATGTCAGCTTCAATGATGCTGTCATCATCTTCAATCATGGTTAAAACATCTTACAGAGGATACCTCTTATCAGAATTTTTCCTAAAAAATCTAAAAAAAATTATTTTGTTAACTGGAATATCTTTACAATAGATAGTAAATTTATTATTATGTTCATACAAACTAATAATAATTCATTGATAGTGTTTATTGTATTTACACTATTGGAAAACAAACATTTGTAATGTGATAACTAAGCGAATCATATTCTGCTAGTGTCCTTTATAAAGGACACATGCTTATGACTGATTTTAAAATATTCAACAGTTAAATATGATTTATTTTTTGCAAAATAATATTTAAAATATATTAATACATAAATTTAATCCATAATATATTAATATTTTCGCAAACCAAATAAAAAAAATTACTAACTTTTTATGTTGAGACATTTTCCCACCAATTTTGCAAACTCGGCAATTTAAATTGATTTTAGAAATTAATGGCACGTGCAACGAAATTTTTTTTTACAAATATAACAAAATTTCGATTTTTAATGATTTTTAAAACAGACGCCAGCCGAAAATGGGCTAATTTTTTTATTACTTTTAAAAATGTCATAATATGAAATGCACGTAGGAAAACACTGACGAAGAACTCATAATTTCTCGAGTGAAGAATATATGCTCATAAAAAATATGGTTCACTTTAAAAATAATAAAAAATACATAACTAAAAAGAATATAAATGTATACATATTTACAAAGAATATACATATGTACATATTTACAAAGAATATACAAAAGTGAAGTGCTACGCAGACTGCGCTGTAATAGGCTCATGTTGTTTCCCTGGAGGCTGACGGAAACCGCTGGCTTCGAGATGCTGGCTCTTCATCGCTTTCACTTTTCTACCCAGTTCTTCCAGCCTGGTTGGTTTTCTTTTTTTTGACCCACCCTCCGCTGGCCCACCTTCAACCTTCCATTTTGGTCTTATGATGTATTCCTTGAGGGATGGTTCTGGTAGTCTAGCTCTATCAGCCGGATTCGCATCTTCTCGCAATAAACGTTGTTTTCCAACCAAATTGGCATCTCCTCGTAATAAACGTTCGTCATTCTTTTTCACGGTTAAGGCTTCGGTAAATCCGACGAGTTCACCGGAGGAATTTTTTTCTTCCTGCTCTTCAATTTTTGAGGATACTTTACGTTTTTTAGAACAGTGTTCTAAATCTCGCTGTTGTCGTTCTTCTCTTGTAAAATCTTTAAAATCAACATCTTGACGAAATAATGGTTTGGCCCACCTTGTTATCAACTGCTGACATATACCTTTGTTATTTGTAGTTTCTTTTGGATGTTTGTAAAGGTAGGCCACTGCCTTTCCGAGTCCACTTGTCTTCAATGCCTCGCTACTTATCGGTGGATAATCAAGTAGTTGCTTGAGGAGTGTCTCCCTAACTTCCAAATGAAGCAAGCATAGATTGGGCAAAGGTGCCAGCCAGATTGCTATAGAACTGAGAATTCCAGAATCTGATAGCGATTCTAGGATGTCCAGTGTACCGAGTTTTGCTTTGACGTATGGAAGTTGCCGCATAACTCGAATGGCTGGTTTTTTTTGACTATTCAATTGTCTATCTTGCTCGGCAGCTGTGTTCATGACTTTTATCATTTCTGCGACGGCATCGTCGTTATCATTGATGACGTCAACGTCATCCATTTTTCTCTTCCTCCTCCTTTTTTCTTCCTTCTTCTTCGCCATCATCAGATCAAAATCATAAACAATAGGCTCATTATCGGCAGCGATGTTTGATGGCGGAGATGATGACGGTTCATCACTTGTTGGATGACTTTTGTTCCTCCTAACTCTTCTGCGCTTCTTTGTTACCACATCATCAGCTGGCAACACTTCGTGTGTTCCCTTTTCGTCAGAGGAACCAAAGATATCAATCATACGATTATAATTATTTCATTTCATTCATAAAACCAAATTGAAATAAAACTTACACACACTAATTGCTATTACGTAGAAACTAGTTAGATCACTTTGGATCATTTACATCTTATCATAAATTAATTAATAAGATGACTATAATTATTCCATTTTATTCATAATACTAAATTAATTTTTTGCGTTAAAAATCATCAGGTTTCATGAATGTTGTAAAATGAATATCGAAGCAATAAACTCACTTTACAACTAATAATCAACGAGATCAGGCAGGAACAAAGTCAATCATGTATTTTAATGCACTTCACTGACATCAATCATTTTTCGTAAATAAGTTGACAGCAAAGAATTCATCGGATCATGCGACCAATCAGTTAGGTAACAAAGAAAGGAAGGAACTTCGTGTCCATGCAGCAACAAGTCTATATAAAGAAGAGGACGGGAGTCGGAGTTCATTTCACTTCATCCTCTCAACCAAGCAACATCGTCCTCCGTCTGCTCATCGGGTACTTAAAATTTCTAAATTACCTATCAAGGTATATTATTTGAAAATTATTTTCATTTACTCAAATTAATTAAAAATGAACAACTAAACCAACCAAAATAGCTTTTCTGCAAATCAACTAATCGACAATCTGACGGTCACCAAACTTTCATGCAAACAACAGCAAATTTAAACTCTTCCGGCGACAACCAAAATTTCACTAATTCAAATTGTTCGAACATTAGTACCCAATCTCCGTCCATTCAACAACCAACTCTGTTTGCACCGGACAATCAACAAACTTATTTCTTTAACAATCAACAATCCTCATATTATGGTGCATACAACCAACCTTACTCATATTATTGCTCACCAACCAAAACTTCTGGACATTTGTGTACATCCAATCAACCGTATGCACAAAATTTCACATCAATTCAACAACCAAATCAACAAGGAGCAAATTATTTCTAACCAAACCATCAACCAGCAATGGCTTACTTAACACCTACAAAATTAACTCCCATCTAAACCCTGATGTAAACAGCAATCAACTTGACTACACATTAGTACTTCAACCGCAACGTCAGCCAATCCAATCAAATCACCAATGTATTGTCAACAAGCAGCAATTATTTTCCAACCAAGCCAACAACCAACGATGGCTTTCTCTACACATACCACTTCAAATCCAAACGCCGATAATAACAGCAATCAACATGACTCCCCATTAGTCGCACCCGGTATTTCAACCGCAACGTCAGTCCCACCTACCAGTACAACCGCCACTTCAAATCCAAATTCTAATGACAACAACATACAAGTGAACGCCACGTCCAAACATGGTAAAAGACGTGTGTATCTTACAAAAGAAAGAACAGAAAAGCTAGAAGAATTTTACCAGAGCCACATAGCATTTTCATATCCTGACCAAGAAACGAAAGAATTACTAGCCAGTGAGTGTGGGATCACTTATTTACAAGTTACGAAATGGTTACGAAATGGTTTTCTAACAGGAGGAACAAAGACAAAAATACACGGACGTTTACAGAAATTGTCGTTGGAAGGAAAAGAAAGTGAATCTCAATCCTGTAATCTCTGTTAATAATTCAATTTAAATTTTTTCACTTATTGAGAATTTTATTTTTATATACCTATGCGTGAAATTAATTTATTTTATTATTTTTCATCATTTATTTTTATGTGATACATCTACAGTTTTTAATGTATATAAATTAGCATACCTTTACATTTTGTGATATCAATTTTTTCCAAGTCATTCTTACATTCCATTATATTCTGTTTCATTATATTCCATTTACATTTTACATTATACTACTTGATAACTTTTTTACGGTTTATAGATTAATCTTTTATTTTGATTTTTTTAATTTAATTTTTTAAATTTTAATTGACTAATTTTATTAATAAACTATGTGACACAATAAATTTGAAGATGATTAGAGCATTTTCGTTCCGCTTAATTCGTTCATTTTCGAGGTTTCCATCTGTAAAATATCGAAGTTTATCAGATGACCAATGAAATTATTATACACTTTTTATGACTCGCTATTTTAAAACCGCTGCCCTCGAATACTATTACGAGATAGAAATATAGCAAATACAACATTGAAAAAAATTCTTTTCATTTTGATTCAAAGTTAACGCACTGAAAGACTTTTACGTGCTATCCATTCCTACATTTTCACCCAACGATAGTGTTACGATACGTAGCAGCTGTTGTAGTAGTAGTAGTTGTAAAGGTTAAAAATTAATCTCTCTTAAAATAATACACACGGATCACCTTAAAACGAGATGATCAAATGTTTCGTTATCGCTGCTGTTTAACTTTACTAGAATTTTTATTTTATATATAACACTTTGATGAAATATGCTGCCAACAATCTTAATACACAAAAAATAATGAGAAGAATATAAAAGAAGAAAAAATGTATTATTGAGAAGTAAATACTGTCTACATACGAACAATGATGACATGGTGACATGCTGAGCGAAACAATTGCAATAGGATCAAACAATAAAAAAATACTGGTATTGACTATTATTACATTTATTAAATGCACAAATTTTCATTAAGTTTCATTATATTTTATTCAGATGGAAATTCACGAAACTGAAATAAAAGAGAACGAGCCGATGTTATTTATGATAATAAATCATGCATTTCTGCGATTAAATTTTAGTTAAAACCAAGGGGAGGCCTATTTACCAACACACAACACCTTCTTATGGGTTGAAGCGGGGATATGCAAAGAACCTCAATTTTTTCAACTTTTAATTATTTTCAGTAATGTTTCCCCTTGCTCCAAACCACATAACTAGAATAATAGGACTATTCGATCTATCGGTCGGGCTATTTGTCGTGCTTGGATTGTTGGCTTACGAAATTGCATGGATTTTAACGAGCAAGCTAAATGAAATATTTACTTGATTTAATATGCTTAAAACATTGTAGTAAATCTATTTAATTTTAATAATGATTAATAGAATTATGTATTATTAAATTATTTTTGTTAATTTGAATATAAAAATTGCTTTCGGTCCGGTAAAATCCGGTGGCTTACTGTAGCCGAAGGTTGGCTTAGTAGGATTGAACTATAGTCACCCTTTATTTTACACTATTCGATCATGTTAAAAATTGGTTTGCTTATCAAATAAACGGCCTAAATAAATCAAAATTGTTATTTGAACAACTATCTTCATTATATTCAATGAATATTTTACATTCTGCTGGTGCTCATAAGAAACTGGCTGCTGAAATCATACGTTGGCTTACAGCAGTGGCTTACAGGGTTTCATAGAACTCTTACGATAGCACATTTTTGTACATATAATGCTTTAAATAAATCAATATATTCATATCACAATTATTTTTGTCAGCATAAATATAGAAATTGCTTTTGTCAGGTGAAAAACAGTGGCTTACTGAAGCTGTGGTTGGCTTAATCGGATTTTTTCTCATGTATACAATACTATGAGATAAATCAATCAAACAATCAGTCGGTCGGTCGGTCAGTCAGCCAGCCAGCCAGTCTGTCAGTCAATCAATTAACCAACCGATCAATCAACCGATCAATCAATCAACTAAATTGAATGAACCAAATAAACAAAAATAAAAACAAAAATAAATAAAAAAAATTTGCAAGGCCTGTTCAAACTCGAACAAACAGTTAACCGTACAGATCTACAAACAATTTCGAGATTTTAGTAAAGAAAGAAAAACACAGTAGTTGCTTTTATTTGAATTCATTCAAGAATGAAAAGTGACGGTTAATTAAAATTTTAAAATGTCAATTTTTTTTAAAAATTCGTATTTTAAATAAACAAATATAACAAAATATCGACCGATAAAAATAATTATTATCCATTATTATTATTATTATTATCATACACACTCCTTAGAAGTTCTCGAAGGATAATAAACCACGCAACATGAACATTTAGTAAGAACAGTTCACAACATATCATAATGACTAAATCAAAATACTAAACAGAAATAATGTATACATGCATATATACAAAGTAAATCAAGAAATATCCAAAAATTATATAACCAATTTAAAAAAAACTAGAAACCAGTCAACATTTAATGAATAAAGAAATAGACATTATTAAAAAGATTGTTCAAAAAGGTACAATTAAAGGCGACGACGAGAATGAAATGTAGTTTGTTTTGTTGGTGTGGTGTTGTGAAGCGAAAACAAACACATCACACAAAACTAGTAAGAAGTCGGAAGAATAATAGTCAGTCACCTACCTATAATAAAATTACTCTCAGGGCCCTAGCTTACTTATAAACATTGACTCAACTCACTTACCTACAAATTTGTATTTCTCGTTTTAGATGTTTCAAGTATTTTATTTAACATATTTTAGCGTTTTTATTTTACTTGAAGCCTTTTAACTAATGTTAAGCCCTAGCCTACCTACAATTGTTTAACTCATCTTAGTCCCTAACTTACCTATGAATTAAATTAAGTCCGGTAAAGAAAATAGAAAGTTGAAGAGAAACATAACAACGACACCGAATGAATGGATGTTGTGTATGTATGTGTTGTATTGATGTGTGTGTATGTAAATGTGCGGGCGCGCACTCTCCAGAAACTTCACTCACTACCGACGAACCTCCATTGCACTGACCATCATCTGACACGCATCGATGGAATGAATTTGACCGGATACTGAAAAATAAATTGAAAAAAAATTAATTCACTAAAATAAAAAACAAGCAATTGGAAAAAATAGGTAACTTATCTTTTTGTGATAACACTCAATCTTTGTTCAAATTCGAGTACTTTCAAAGGTACAATGAGACAAAAACAAATTTACCTTTAACATTATCTTCGATTTGTCATCGGAACGATCATGAGACCACCATCTGAAACGTGCTGACGCCCACCACAGCCCACCTCTCATAATTCTGTAGACAAGTTTTTATTAATTAGCGAAGTAGTAAATCAAGAAACAAAGGAACGAACGAATAAATGATTAACTGAATGATTGAACGATTGGTTGAATGAATAAATTAACTAATTAATTAATCAACCAATGATTTAATGAATGAATAGAATTAATCAATGAATACAGTAACTGAGGAATAATTTGAAAGATAGTGATAAAATGAATTTTATGAATGAATGAGAAAAATAAAAAAAAGAAACTAAATCATACTTCAAAAACCGTCGTTGTTGTTATCTTCGAATTGTCATCGGAACGATCATCATGAGACCTCCATCTGAAACGTGCTGATGCCCACCACAGCCCACCTCTCATCATTCTGTAGTCATTTTTTAATAGCGTATTAGTAAATCAAGGAACAAAGGAACGATCGAATAAATGATTAACTGAATGATTGAATAATTGGTTGAATGAATGAGTGAATGAATGAATTATAAATCAATGATTCAATTAATGAATAGAATGAATAACCGAATCAATTAATAGAAGAATAATTTAAAAGGTTGAGTGATAAAATGAACGAATGATAAAATAAAAAACGAAACTAAACCTTACTTCAAAAATCGTCGTTACTGTACTTTCCATTGCACCGACCACCACCATCTGGTCAGCACACAAAATACCATCCGAACTTCAGAGTGTCAATCGAACAGCCAACGAGCTGATTCTTCCTACACCACCATCATAATATGTAAATCATCATGAGACCACCATCTAAAACGTGCTGACTCCCACCACTACCCACCTCTCATCATTCTGTAAACAAAATTTTTTTATTTGCGTAGTAGTAAATGAATGTTAAAATCTTAGAAGCAAAAAAATTAAATTATAAAATGAAAATAATGTCAAATAAATAAAATTTTAAAATAATAAAGTAAGTAAAATGTAAAAAAAACTTACCGTCGTCCATTCGACAAAGGCAGAATGTTGAATGCGGTCCGGTTCCTACGTTGTCCTCCAAAACTGGTGCCAGTCCTCCTCGAGATTGTTGTTGAAACAAAGCCCGTGTTGATGGAAAAAGATAGAGAAAGAGTAGATTCTCATCAGAAAGCTTAGCGGTGCCTGCATCTCAAATTGCTTAATAAAAATAATCCTATCTACCTATTCAATTACCTTAACTAATCTATATTAAATTGTTAATGGTACGATAGTCGAAAGTCCCCCTTCATTCTTCCTCCTTGCACAGAGGTTCACCGACAGCCAGGGCACCGGATAGAAAACCATTGCCATGCGGATAGTAGACTATTGCCGTGCGGATAGTAAACCATTTGCCGTCCGGAAGCCGTGCGGGTAGTAGACTATGGCCGTGCCGCATGGTAAATCATTACCGTGCAGATAGTAAACCATTGCCGTTCGGATAGTAAACCATTGCCGGTACACCACTGGCCACCAAGGCTTACCTCTGACAACAGACTTTGAAATTCAGAGTCTATCGGCTATCGTACCCTCAACTTACCTATTAATTACAATTAAGCCCTAGCTTACCTAAAATTACAAAAAAAACTCAAGAGCCCAATTCATTTG